CGATATGAGAATATCCCCTCGGAAAAAATTTGACAAATTTTTGCGAAGAAGTAATAGCGGATAAACGCAGCGGCTGTAGTGGTCACGCGGGGAGTGTGTGGCTCCGGCGGTCATCCAAGCTAAGCAGCGTTCACGCTGCCCAGTACTTGGATGGGTGTCCGCTTAGGCACACCTAACCGCGTGGAACTACAGTCGCTATCCACGAATGTAGGGAACCACTCTACCCATTGATTCAGTGTGACCAATAGACACAGTGGAATCTGCATTATCGGCCGGCTGCACGACTGAGGTTTTCCATGGTTTCCCTGGCAGTCCAATCCCGAATGGGGTGCAGTTGGGGATAAAGTAAGATCCGGCCCATGGTAACGCAGATAGGGAAGGGAACAAAATCTAAAACCCCGACAGGGTATACATATGGAACCAAAAATAAATAATAGCGGATAAGCACCATGAAATATTCAAGATTTTTATTCAGATTTAACGAGGAATCATGAGTGAAAAACACTTACCCTCCCCCAAGTATAATAAAACTGCATAAACAATAAATAAAAATGCCGGAAAAAAAATACAATGAGATGCATTCTCCAGCAGCGCAAAATCCTTAATCTATTCCGTGGCGCAAGAAATACCCGGAGATAAATAATGTCGTCGCATTAAACTTTTGCGGTAGCATAGTTTCGAGATTATCCCGTTGAGCCAGCGGCTAACGCTCCCTTCTTCTTCTTCCAACCCCCCCCCCCTCCCGCTGCTGCGACTTTCCATGGAAGCTATATGAACGCCCTTCGCGCCCTCGCCCTGCTCGTTATTCATAATCAAAAGTCAGTCTTGAGGTAGTGAAAATTTTCTGGTCTACTTCTTTTTTCTCCTGCCGCCACGGTTCGGCGAGCTGTATGAGTAACCAACCCTCCTGGAGATATCTTTCATCATGAGAACATGACAGATTTTATTAAGTGAGTGGTAAGTATAATATATTTTTATAAACATGGGTGGACGGGGTGGAGGGGGGTTAGAGGGATTTAGAAACTTTCGAGGGACAGGGAAATTGTAACGATGATACAATATCATTCAATATAAATAGAATTTATAAATTCGCTTCGTTCAAATGACATTCTGCAAAAAAATGTAATTTGAAAAAATCTTTTTTTTATTACACTTTTATGAATGAAATATGGAAATTTTTTTTTGCATTTTTTGACGCAGAAATTGATAGTTATGTAATTGTTAGAATAATAATAATAGTTAAATTAGTAGTTGAATTTTTTAGAAGATTGATGAAATGATTGAAAAATTGCAATTTTTTAAAATTACAAGCGATTTTTGAGATAATTTATAGACAATCAATTTTCCACCATGAAAATCATTTGTTCGACAGTTTAAACAATTTCAATTATTGATTTATATTCAACGAATGCTAAAGAAATAATAATTCTGTGCAAAACATAATTTGAATGACGTAGAATATTCATGAGTTAAAAAAAAAAATTTTCACGCAATTTAATTGACAAATTTGATGATTGAAAATGGTTGAATTTATAATCTGGTCTGTACCAAACTGTAAAAGATCCTTGGATATCCTTAAAAACATCCGAAATTTCAGTCACCACAAGAGTAAGTCTCAAATTAAGACTAAAATCCTCAGGATTTTTATTCCAGTAAAGAAACTGAATAATCAACAAATAAATCTCTCCCACCTCGTACGATAATTCCCTCAATTTCAGCGAAACGAGACCTGAAAACAACCTCCCAATCCCCCCCCCGCCGGAAACTTTCATGATCAAGATGCTGAACAATGCTTGAATATAAAATTGAAATTCAACGAGCAGAAACTCCGTGACCGATATTAGAATCTCAGTTGCATATTGGAGAAGAGTTGAAGCATAATGGTGATGCCACGACGACAAATTGCCAAGCATATACACAAGAAGCTCAACGGCCTCCCCGGGATTGGGGATAAGAGGTCAAGGAATCGATCAAGTATCACCAGCCAAAACTCCCCAGAGCTCCCACTGAAACCCGAGCGGAGAAAAATTTCTATTCAAAATTGTCCGCAAAGAAAAAAAAAACATCTTTGAAAAATTTTTACGTGAGATATTGTAATTTTTACATGACTGATTTTATATTAGATTTTTGTTTATTATTCTCTATATAGAAAATGCAGCAGAAAATGTAGCGACATTAAATTCAATTTAACGGCAAAAAATATTAAATCCAAATTCACTCTAAAATGAATTAATAGCTAAACGAATTTTCCAAGAAAAAAACAGACAACGCCAACGTTTAATAAAAGGATTGAACTCTAATTTTTTAAGAATTTTCCAGCGACGAGAAGCACATAAAAATATAAAACGGTTAAACCGTTTTACCGCTTCGCTGTTTCTCCTGATTCTCAGAGAAATTTCCCTGAAATCCATTGTTTTTTGTTTTACCAGCTCATAGCAACGGACACACAGAGAATAAGTTTCTAATTTCCAGTAACAGCCCCGGGAGTTTAGAACTCTCGAAGCCAGAAACTTTTTTTTCTCGGTGTAGCCGTCATGACGAACTGGTAAATCCCCGCTCGAAAAAAATACAACTGAAACCGCATGAATATGACATTCCACATTTGAATAAACATTCCATTCTATTCTGTTCTAAACCGAGTAATTACTGCACAACACCGCCACCAAAGTTTCAAATTGAATATTTGCCGGAGGCCAAGTGCAGGTAAAACCAAAGTGATGATCCGGCTCAGGAGTTGGGGTTACGAACACAGGACCCCTTGCATCTGGCCCTCCACCGATAAATTAATAATTAATTACACTCGGAGATAAGAGGGCAGAATGCTTGGCACAAACACACATCCGGATGAATTCATTCCACTGATCACGCAACCGCTCGCCGAGNTCGCCGAGTCACGTATCTCTCCTCTCCCCCCCCCCTCCCCGCGCTCCTACAGTACGCGGACCTCACTCACCACTTTCCTGAGACTTTCATCCCTTCATTGAAATCCGCTTTCAATCGCACTTTAACTCCGGCAAATCTTCATACATGCCTTCACTACTTCGAATGCGTCTTGTCATACTGATTTCAATGCACTTTAACGGTCTCTTAAACTACGTTCATTCATGAATGACTCGATTGGGAAAATAAAACTACAAAATTTTTTGGACGATCTATTTAAGGACGTTCGAGTACTTTGAACATGTTCTATTAGAATTTTTTGGAATTTGAGGAATATCTGAATTGTTTGGATTGTGAATTTGTGTTCAGTTTAAGATAAAATCGGTCGGAACATTTTTTAATCGTCTTGAAAGTTCAATGAAATTGAGTTTTTCGTGGGAAGCGATCTTTGCTATTTTAATGAGAGGTTGAGAGGTTTCCCAGTCATTGGAAAAATTGAATATTATATTCAATTAAATTTGCAATAGATTGAGAATTGATAAAAAAAAGTTGTCTGAACTATCAGGATTTTCAGTCATTTTCATTGTCGTATGAACGCGAGAATTGGCATTCAAGGAATTAATTCATCAATGAAAAAATCTACAGAAATGTAATGTCAATTGTTCGTTGTTGAAAAAAATTGAAAATTTTCAAAATTTTCTCACTCGAGGTTCCAGAATAATCTTCCAACATGCGGAGAAAAATCTACCATAAAAATTGCATCGAAGATATGGGTAGAAATTAATTTCATGGAAAATATGATAGTAATTCTCATGAGAGTGACGTTGAATCAGATTCAGAGGAAACCTGGTTATGAAATTTCAAGTTTTAGGTAGAATTCAAAGAATTCATGAGCTTTCAGTGAAATTTCAATGAAGCATGAATATTTAGAAACAGAATGACATGAATTTTCAATTTTTCGCAGATTTTTTTGAATTTTCACGGAATAATTAACTGAAAATTCAAGTATTTTATTGATTTTCAAATCATTCAAACAGAAAATCACCGGAACATTTGATTTTTCAACGACAATATTCCCTGAAATTTCCCTCCCGAATACTACTCGAGCTTCAAAATTAATCGAGTAATTCCCTCAAGTTTCCCTGCACAAAAACGAACTTATCAGGAATTGCTCGATAATTTTGAAGCTCTCGTGCTATTACTTGTGGAAATTAAACACAATAAAAATTTCCCAGATTTGACACAGAAAATTCAGACGAAAATTTTCAACAGTGCAACCCCTTTTTCTCTGACTTTCAAAATATTTCCCACCGCTTAAAAATGGAGATCTAAATCGGAGCCTTCCAACTTCACCAATAAATCAATTGAAACATGTTCAGCAACCTAGACTAAGATAGAGCTTACCCGAAAGCTCACCCATCTCCCCACAAATCTCAAAAAGAATGTCCCCCAAAAATAAAATAGCCAAAGCACTTGCCACCCCCAAAAACCCAAAATGAAGATAAATCCACAAATTAATAAAACAAACAAATAAATATTCTATCAAAAATTCAATTCCTCCCGGCTCTTTCCTCATTGCTCAATCTATTTTCAGGACAAAAAAATGATAACTGTAGAAATTTAGCCACTCGATTACAGCATGACGAAACATTCCTTTAAAATTGAGCCAATTTATAATTTAGAAGTCCAAAATTTCAAAATGATACATTTACGGGCATGTCGGTAGTGCGTGCTACTGCCACTGATAGCAGCCTGGGTACGCCGTCCAATCGGCAATCGGCCCCGGGCACAGGGGCAAAGGTCGCTCGTGCCAAGTCCACTACATGACTGGCCCATCGTCACCAATCACCTCCAGTCGTCTTCAACGTTCGCATTAGTGACCACCAATTTTTATCAAATTTCTTTCATCAATTCATCCCCAATGGCTGTTGTGTCAATGGATAAACTCGTTATTTAGTTATATTTATTTTTTATTCCGGTGAAGTTGAGTGAAGTGTACTTAAAATTCAAAGTTTTCCCCGAGGAAGTTGGGCATGAGAAAAGAACGGACGAGAGTTCTCACTAATTTAGGCTTTTTATAATTATAAAAAAATTTAGTTATGATTTATAAATCGAAAAAAATGAATTGGTTAGTCCTGTCAATTATCGCGTTGACAGTAGCATCGTTGAGTGTGGAGGGCTTCACCCTCATCGAGCCCCTGAAAACTGTATTGTCATCGTTCTATCCTGATAAGCCTAGCACCGAGATGACTGTGGAGAGGGACACGAGGGAGTCAGTGGAGTACCATCACGTGTGTCCTTCGTGCGTCAAAAATCGTGTTGTCAGCGATGGAGTGGATCAGATGCTCAATGAAATCAGAGTTGAGTATGTCAAACAGCAGATCCTGAAGAAACTGAGACTGTCGAAACCACCGGAGGTTACAATCTCAATCTCCACCCTGCCTAAGCCGCTCATCAATGGCCACGTGCTTGAATTACGACCCGGTGAGCCCATGGAACCGGAGAAACAGGCCGAGAGCTTTTATGGAAAAACCGATCAGATCGTGGTTTTTCCGAATGAAGGTAATAATTACTGAATTTTTTTGAAATTCTATGAAATTTATGAGTTACTTTTGATCTTGGCGAGTGCGTTTCCATCAATTTTCAATCATTAATTTTTTTGTCGGTGAAATTCCCTTCCAAATTTTGTATACATGACTTGTCTTGGAAAACTGATCGTATTTTTTTTTAATGAAGGGAATAATTACTGAAATTGTTTCGAATTCTATGAAATTTCTGAGTTGATACCTTTGATCTTGATGCGTTTTCGAAGGTGAGAAATTGTTCTTGACGTAATGAAAGGCGAGTGCGTTTCAATTGATTTTCAATCATTAAATTTTTTTCGGTGAAATTCCCGTCTACATTTACTCTTAATGAACTTTAAGCTTCATTTCACTCGAGGCCCCGAACATTTGGCAACGATTATATTACTTGGAATTATATTACAAAATTTAAAAAATTATAAAAAATAACAACTTTGAAAGTGGACGACATCTTGCATGAATGATTCACAGTCTTGAAAATGACAATCATTTTTTAAATTTTTAACATGTTACCACAAATTGATTTCACGCCAAAACGAGTTTCCAATTACAAAATTAATGATAAGAAACAATATCTTCAAAAGATAAATTTCGTGTAGAATATTATATAAAAAAAGCTCATTGCCCATGAATTCTGTTGCATCAACTGATTAAAAATCATTAATTAAAAGCATCCTCCATTAAAAATCAACTCCTCCCCCTCGCCCCAACCGACCCATCACCGAGGAAGAAACCCAAAGTTTACTTAATTAATCCAGAACATTGAAGATAAATCCAGAATGATGGAACTGGAGAAACTAAAACTTTAATTGAATCAGCAACACCGAAGCCCAATTAATCACAAAACTTTGTACTCGAATAAAACTGAGAAATTTCAACAGGTGTATGATCTAACAGGTTGAAATAGTACGATATCCATTTTGCCATCGCTCCTCACCCTTGGACAGATCCCAGTGCATCCACCTCCACCCCAACAAGTGAGGCCACTCTCTCTCTTGCGCTTTAATTGCCCCAATGCCAGAGTAGTAACACGATAGAGTTGACGGGCTATCCTAATTGTCGTCAGTCCTAATTACTCCTTTTGGAATCTCACGGATTCGTCTGACTTGTAATTGGTCAAATCAACCGGTACCACGTTGATGTCCCATCATCCTGAATCTTTGGAATTTATGGCCTCATTTGGGGGAATTATTTTCGCGTGCCTGTCGTGCTCTACATAATAGTAGTCAACAATTCATCATGTTCAGGTGACGTCTATCGTTGAAAAAAAAGGGAAAAATGATTGGCAGCAATGAGTTTTCTGCTGGCAGTCCCAACGAGAGAATTGTGAAGGGTTGATTTAACGAATTTATAATTCTGCCTAGACATGACATGAGTTATACCACATCAACAGGAATTTGTATCCCTAAATGGGAAGGAAACGACGCGGAGAAAAAACGTTTTTAGTTTCCAATAAAAATCAATGAATTTCAAAATTAAAATGAGTGAAATTTTCATCTATAATATTTTAGTAAAATTTCCCATAAAAATCAGAGAAAAAAAAAATCTTGTTATTTATTTTTTTATCTGGTGTAATTGTATTTTAATTACGACATTTTTTTTTTATTTTAAGGAAATCTTGATTCTGGAATTCAGAACTTCTGGGTTTTTGAAAAAAGAATCTTCAGGATGCGTGAACTTTCTTATGCTTAAATTGATGATTCTTCTTGTTCTAAAATGAATTTACTCATGTTTACGAATCGTTTCTTATTCAAAATATATTTTGCACAGAATTATTAGTTTTTGAAACATTCGTTGTTTATCAACAAATAATTGCAATTGTTTAAATTTTCGGATACCTTAATTTTATCAATTACATGCTTAAATGCCTAGTGGTTATTTCAATGACACTGAATATTCATGTTTTTTTTTCAAAATTTTCTAGCGCAATTTGATTGACAAATTTGATGATTGAAAATGATTAAAGATACTTGTATATCCTTAACCCTTTACTCATCAATTTTCCGTCCATCTCTTCATTCTACCAGGTCAAACCCACTGATGACTATTTCAATAACAATTCAAAGGATTTCCGTGAATTTTTTTTCGCATCTCTGGAAACGAAAAAAATATGGCGATTACCGAGAAATGTGGAGTTGATAAATAGAGTTCTTCACAACCACCCCTATTCACTTTTGTTGAAAAAAAAAAATTCGATGAGCACTGGATGTAGGCCACTGTACTCGATATACCAGATGCAAAACGTCAAAAGCAGCTTCCAATGCGCCTGGACTCTGCCTCCATTCACCATCAGATGCAGTGAGAAATGGAATATTAATTCAGCGTGATATGCATTGAAAATGAGGACCTCTCTGGGGATTAAAATTCTGACAGATTTTGAATAAAAAATGACAGTGTGCAATAAATTTATTGAAACGTGAAAATTCTCATCAATCAGCAACAACATTTGAATTATTTCATTTCATTATTCGATTTATAGTTCAGAAGTGATTCATATTCATTTGGATCCGTGGATTAAACTAATTTATGCACTGATCCACGGAACAACCATTATATTCAGATTACAGCCCTCAATTTTTTTTTCATTTTTTTCACTTCAGAGTTAACGAGAAATGATTCAATAACTTTTATATTCTCATTTCAAGTTTGAATTTTCTAATTTGATCAACAATTTAGCTCAAATAGTACATGGACTATTTGAATACTAACGTGAGAAAATTATTGAGGAGAAATTCTCTTTAATAATTGTAGTGATATTAAGAAAAATTTATGGTTGTTTATGGTAGAATTTGAAGCGTTTTCTGATTAAATTTCTCACGATTTCTGTGATTATTCCCCATCTGAATGTCAACCAATAGAAACGCAGTATTTGACGTTTTACGGAGAACTGGGGGTAGTATTATTTCGATTATTTCCCTCGTCACACTTTCGACCAATAGAATTGCGGCATTCGACGTTCCGCGGACCAATCAGAAAATTAATAATTTTTTTATTTCTGTGAGATTTTTGTGTCAGGTGCCACGTGAACTCGACCACTGCACTCTGATTGTTCGAACTCCTCCGAATACCCCTCGACTTTCAAAATTCATTGGATGTTTCCCTCAAGTTTTTCTGCGCTCGTAACTTTTATCCTGTAAAATTCACTCCTCTAGTTGAGTACGCAACGAACCTATCGGAAGATATCCGTTAAGTTTAAACGGTCTCAGAGAATAACAACTGAATATTTCCTCCGAAAGTTGAAAAGATTTCAATTATTTATTTATAAACAACGAATGTGCAAAAACGCTGAATATTCATCAATTTTTTCAAATTTTTCTCACACAATTTAATTAACAAATTTGATGATTGAAAATAGTTGAATCTATGTACCAAATAGATATGATCTGTACCAAACTATAAAAGATACTTGCACTCATTTTAACAGATCTTTCTTCTGCACCAGAGTGTATTATTAATAATTCAGTAGTGGTCAAACGGTTCAAGTCAATTCCACTCTAGCGCCAGTTTTCGATGAATATCTCAAATTCTACAGGATTTAGTAAAATTTTCCTAAGACTCTTTTTTGTAAATAAAAGTGAAGACTATCGAAGAAGATTTTACCAAAATTTCGCTATCTTTCTTCAATTCCGAATTATTCAACAAAAACTCAACGGGGAGCTAAGTCGACTTGAATCGATCGACGATGTCACTACTAAATTTTTAATTAAAAAAACAATGCCAGTTAAAACCACGAGTTTCTGAAAATCACTGACATTGTTCTCCGAACTCGAAATTATTCTCCCCTGCATCAAATTACTGCAATCAACGAAGCCCCCCCCC